CGAAGTAACGAATAAAAACAATTATAATTTAAGAAAAAAAAAAATGTAATTTGTCGCTCCAGAGACATTCCAATTTTGTGCAAATAATTTACGTAATCGTCATGCCATATTTAATCGCATTAAAAAAAAGGGAGAGAAACGAGGAATTGAGGTGCACGCGATTGTGATTAAATATACGAGAGAATACTCGCGTTAATAAATGCGGAATTATTTACTGATACTCTCGTTTGGAACTACAAACAAACTGCTAATATACCGTAAAAGGTAATAATCCGACTGATTAAACCGAATTGCATTAATCCAATTACGACTGTGTGTGTCAACGCGATAGGGCGAGCAATGTTTTATATGGGATTAAATAGGAATATCGTGATAAAAAAACACACACACACACACACATACATACATATGGTTTGGTACCATTGTGAAGCACGCAAGCAAACGCGAAGTAATATGGTGTTACAGACACATGGAAGTTTTTAATCAACGCAGGGAGAAAGCAACGATTGACGATGGATGAAAAAGCCATATCTATGGATTTTTGTGATCACGAAATTTTCGCAATTTGAAACAACTGCGAAACGATTGTATGGAAAATATTTCTTTGTGACGAAACATTTTTAATTATTATTATCTGAACAAAGGAAGACAAAAGCGCAAATAAAGAATGTATTTGTTAGCGAGCTTTTCGTATTTAGCAAACTGTTGGAATGTCGTATTCTTTAACAAGTAGAAGTTTTCTGCACATTTACGTCTACAGTTTCTGTGTGATCTTGTTGCATTAAAATTATTAATTTGATGCGGTAAAAATATGTTTACTGTACAGAAAACATGAGGATTACAAGACAGCGTATGAAATAGTTTAAATAGAAATAATCGTAATACGTAGATTAAACGAGAAAACGATGAAGAGGAATTACCATGCATGCAAGGAAATATATTAAACGCACAGAGCGTTTGTCATATTCCGTTACACATTCAATTTGCAAGTTTCGCATAAATAACGCAATATATTATTTTGGAAAAGTCAGCGTTCAATAGTCGCATCTGCCGCGAATACATCGAGCCACGTGCGCATAAGGAATCTGTCTAATATATTTGTGCAAGGGTCAAATGGCCGACGCAAAGAGCGTATTTTCGTGGAGCATTTTCGCAAGGGAACGAGACCCGGCTGATATATGCTCGAGCCTTACCCCTGAAAATCCGGGACGCTCGGCTCTCCTTCGCACAATTGGGAGATTTTCGAACGGTCCGATCCATGACAGACGTCATTTTTTATCCCCGCCACGTCAGATAAGAGTATCCGCGCGTTTTCGGAGGCAGCAAAAAAAAAAAAAATATAAATAGAAGAGAGAAGCGAACGATACACGAGGTCGATAATCCCGCGGGAGGGATATTCCGAGCCAGCACGACGGCCGCGTATTAATCGCGAAAAAAAAACGCGGTCCAGTTCGAAACGTGAACGCGACGAATGCCATTTACATAGGCAATTCGCGGCGCGACGGTAATTGTAAACGCATATCCGCGCCAGATGGTCCGCGATTTTATCTTGAAAAGCCGGCAAAAAAGCTTGTCGTCCGGCGCACGAAATTCATGGCGCAACATTTATAGCAGCGCTCAGCCGACGGTCCCTCTCTGCTGCCGTGGCAAGATAAAATTTCGTGAGAAAAGCGCGGTAATATTTCCTTCGCAAATTTATCTGCCGTTATTCAAGCACGATGAAAATAAACGTCAACTCTTGCGCGGAGCGGCGCGGCGCGACACGACGCAGCCAACGTTCAGCGAGATTTTCACGATTGAGGAGACGACGATAAACACGAGCGGCGACCGGCACTAGCTCGTCGCATTCTGGCCGATTAATCAGAACGCGCATATTTTTAATTCGCGCGATTTTCTACGCGCACTGACTGCATCGCCGCTTATTTGACGCCGAGAGACCGCGAATAGTGTATACACACAGCTGCCGTCAGTCGTATTTATGGAGCTTGCCGGCGGAATGAGTGAGTATATCACTGCGAATGTAGCACGGGCTAGCCACAAATTCGCGCTCATGCTTCATGCAGTGAAATTCCTTCGTCCATTTCAAGTCGGTTCTTTCTTTAATGGAAATGTCGATAAGTTACATTAAATTATCAAATTGTTAAAAATACCTTTGAACGCGCTTAACATGATTAGAGCAACATATTAAATCAACTTATGTTGTTTAAAAAAAGAGAACATTATTTATACACTTTTGTAAAATATTAATTTATTGTCTACGAAACTGCTCGTATCGATAATGAATTTGATAAAGGAATCTTTTCAAACAGCAAGAATAAGCGTGACGTTCTCAATGGAAGCGTATTGCGAACGAAAACAAATTATAAAATGCGATAATAGAAAAATCAGCATGTCGATTTAGTTGATTAAAAAAATACCGTCGTAAAGTGTCCGTGTTGGGCAATTGAAATGGCGAGCTAAAAATCACCTTGGGTCTTTAGCCGTGGAGAATAACAATTACTCGCTATTGCTCGCCGCCCGAGTTTATAACCGACAGATACGCCGTTCTGCTGGATAACAGATTTTTCAAGACAGTTAAACGCACGGGGATTTAATTAACTGCGCTCTCGTTTCGCAGTTCTTTTGTACCGCGGGAGTGACCCATCCACCGCACCGCCACCGTGATAACAAGAGCATCAGCGCTTGTCAATTTCCTCCTTTGTCATGCAAAAGCACACACAGCTTTCGTACCGCTATTATAACGCGTCGTCCATAGAATATACCGTTTTATTAATGCGATTATACACCGGCGCGCGACAATGGCGTGTACGCGCGTACAACGAGTCGAGACTCTCTCCGCTGCATATCCTTTTGAAAACGAGTAAAAAAAAAAGAAGGAAGGAGGAGCAGCGGAGAACGGCGAGAGCAGCCAGGCGTTTCATGACGTTTCATAACTGCAACGTATACGCGGCCAGAAGGTGCGCGCGTAGTGTTTAAAAAAAAAAAGGGAAAAAAGAAAATACCATCAGCCGGCATCCGACTGTATATTTACTCACAGTGACGTTTTTACCCCGCATGATGCAGGGCTGCATCTCGAGGATGCACAGCTCGGCGCGCGCGCTGTTACGTTGAGCCAAGAAGAAAGTTCCGCGCAACGGAGGAGGCGGTCACGCTTCTCCAACTTGGCAGCGGAACGATACACTTCTCAAACTCGCATAATGCTTTTTTATGTGCGCGGAGTATCCACCTACCTATCTACCTACCTACGGAGACCATTGTCCTGTGGTAAACTTTCCTAGCGCAGAGTTCGCCGCTGCACGCTGTCGCTCTCTCTCTCTCTCTCTCTCTTTGAAACTACACATGTATACTCAGCGACATCCGATAGCACTCAAGATGGTTTCTCGAGCGAATACGCTCGAAAAAAGATCGCGGTATTGTTTCTTGAGTATAATCGAAAGATGAAGATGTGCGAAGAAAACGGCTTAAAAGTGACAATTCTGATCGTGATATCCTTGCGTTATTTTAACGGAGTTATGTAAGAACTAAAACTCCGGAATGAAATTTTTGCAGGGTAAATAACATTTTACATTAAAATTATAATTTTAGTCACGTTTCGCTGGACGGCGAGATAATCCCTTCTTGCTTTCGTATCTCCGTGCCATAAAGATTCTTGAATTGATATAAGATTCCCTTTTCTTTTAATTACCTTCCTTGCCGCTGTTGTAATGTTGCGATATTATGTTTATGCACATTTTTGCAATTAATGCATTATTTTGTTAATGATTCTCTTATAAAATTTACTACAAATTACATTATATTAATAGACAATCGCTCAAATGTAATGAGATTGCAATTTTCAAGGTAATTTTGTGCTTATTATCACTAGCGAACAAAGAATGTTTTTATTATTAAAAGTTTTTATTAAAACGAAGTTATGTATAAAACGTTACACTGATATGTTATTGTAGATATCTTTCAGCCGTCTCTGAAGATTTTTTTGCTGAAAAAGATTGGAACTGCCAGGAAGCACTCAGTTTTCCATTGAAATATTTAATGGACTGTACTGAAAAACCCGGTATTTCGAGTTACAATGTTTTTCGAACGAAGTTGTCGATAAGCCGATTTCCATGTATTCGAAACCCGATGAATTAATGTCCGTTCAACCTTCACCATGGTGCATTTGCATACTTTGAAGCACCTATACCCGGCTTTGGTCAAAAATATAATACATTTTTTAATCGTGATGTATCAATAGACACTGTTGAATCAATGATAACTTTATATGATTTATAATAAATACTTAGATATGATCACTAATTGGTGCCGTATAATTAAACACCGACTAATTTATTTATCACAATTTGTTAAAGATATTTTACACTTGCAATCAAAGAGATAAACATTGTAATATAAATTTGGAGAGAACACATACTGATTTATATTTGCTGCGAATGCGATAACTTTCGTTGTTACGCGAGTAACCAGACCAGAAGAGAAAATTTATAAATATGTAACTATAATTGCCGTGACAGCCCGTATCGTTTAAAATTATTTAGCGATGCCATTGTGCAATATTATATAATTATTATTGAAGCGACATTTTTAAACGAATATTTTGTCGCAGCATTTCGTAGAAGCTTACGAGCAAGCTACATCACGCCAAAGTTTTTCAATATTTCGGTAATATTTTTTATTTCACCTTCGTAAGTTTTTTTTTGGCATAATATATGTTAATAATAATAAAAATAATTATAAATTACAAAATAAATTATAAATTTTAATATTGCATTTTTGCACTTTTTACGTACTTTATATTGAACACATCTGTACATCTTATCACAGTTTTATTATGACATTTACGGTTATAAACTCTGACATTTTCATTACGCGTACATGAAATGAGAAATCCAAAAACGTTGCTCCATTTGTTTTCTTCTTTTGCGTTCCAAATGTATCCTCGCATTAAGTCAAGTTCTAATTCTGTGCAAAGCAATTTACCTACTGCGTCTTTTATTTTTCAGGTCTCGAGAAGTACAGGGATACTGTCACACTTTGTCAATCTACATATAGTGATACCAGAGGCGTTTATATTAGGAAGCGACGAGCATCACGTCGACGTAGGATCTATCATAAATCTCGTATGCATAATAGAGAAGGTAAGACGCATTGCACATTGTACTCGTGAGACGTTTACTTTACACAAGCACGAGCGAGCCTGCTAATAAATGTAAATAACAGAAATTTCGCGATAAACGCAACTGCTGCGCACGCAGTTACCTCTTTTCAACCGACCTCTTTTCCGACGCTCTACACGCTTATGGCGCGAAAGCTTGTTACATTACAACACACCGCATATGCTGCATAGATATTAACAAATATTGATCGTTTTGTGTCTACCATATTTGGTCACACCGACGTGATATATAAATAAATCGTTTACATATTTAATATGTTTACACGTACCAATTTGGCGCGAAATTTCATTTTACAATTGCATTACGTGACTTTATTTTTATGGAATAAGAGGAAGTCATCACAATTTTTATCTCTGATCTCTATTTTCGTTATCTTGAACGTTTTTATTAACACAAAATAAAATATTCAATACAATGTAGAAAATATCTTAGATTTTCTGTATATGTATGATGTTTTGTCATTTGTGAATTTTTTATCTGTTTAACAATTGACAAAGATTCTCTTGACAAAAGTCAAAACATTGAATCTTTTTGTGCAAAAACAGCTTCAAGTTTAAGCTTGATTTTTTTTCTGGCTTTAATAGCGATATTACATTACGCGCCGACACGGCGTTGAACCGCTAACATGAGAGTGCATGCATAAGCGAAAGTTGGAATGACACACTGAATGAAGGCCGCGATGTAACACAATTTTTGCATTTGTCATAAACAAATTGTGATACGCAAAGCGTGTCTCTCGGGATGTTTGTTTGCGCACAGGATTAATTATCATCAGGATACATTAATAGCGACCAGCTTTGCCGGCTTGCTTTCATACGTATCATAGTAGTACGATGTTAACAAGAGCAATCCGTGCGTGGTCATGCCCGCAATTCCACGCCCGTCGTTTCATCGTCGTCGTAACTTTTGACCTATATCGCAGGATTATTAACGTTTCCGGAACTTTATGCGCGAATATTTGTTGCCGCGATACGCGATGCGCTTTCGGTCTCAAATATCGGAGCGTTTCGCTCGTCCGAGAGGCGCAGACGTTTACTCGCCGTTCGCTTGGCCCTATTTGCAATATTTCAGTTATTTTATCGGATTCTGCCGCTTGTCTGCGTGTTCCGCAATATGCAAGCGTGCTGCGCGGCGGCCTGCTCGTTTCCGCTCTTGCTCGATATTCGCACGCGGCCATGGCGACGCGAGTGAAGAAATCGCGAAACCCGATGACGTTGATTCTGTTTTAATTGGTAACTCTGTACACCAGATACCCATTAATTAAATTGATAAATTAAAACCGCTGCGCAGCGCCGCGTCGCTGCAATGCGGATGGAAATTGATTAAATTCGTGTTTCGCCTTTCGGTTGCGCGCCAACCAACCCTCGATTCCCAATTGACAAGGCGCCGCCGAGTCACTTAATTTTTTTTTTTTCATACTGTTTTACAATTCGTATATTTGTATCGACGTGAAAACTTCTTTTTTCGAAAGCATCCAAAGTCCACAATGAACGTTATTTCTTCTCGTTTAATTTGTTCTATTTATAATGCAACGGATAAAGTAAACGTCATTAATTCTGCAATTGTACTTCGTAAAGCATTGTTATTCTGAATTCGTTAGAAAAGTTCGAGATGTAAAGTAGACAGAATAGCGCGCCGTAGAAATACAAGTTTTGTGTACTTATGTTTCTTATTCATTGCGTATACTCCACAATGCTCCATAGTACTATTTTGCTGTAAATTTGATCATTTCGTCCTTTTTTTTTTGCCTGCTAAGCCTTCGTTTTATTTACTTTACAAGAATAAATTATATATTTGAATAATAAATAAAAATCGAGTCGCATATTACAACAGTATAATTTTAAATTAAAGATACTCGTAACTGTGCTATAAAATAACCAAGACTGAAAGGCAATAGGATCGTTCTGTCATTACGCTGACTTGACCAAGCATCGGAAAAATTCTCATCAAATATTGGAAGATATCGAATATAAAGGGAACTCTCGTTCACAGTTTTTATTCATTGCATCGAGCCAGCTTCATTATCGACTTTCATATACACAAGCCGTAACGTTATCGGCGCAATGACTTTGCAAAGAGACAGTGCACGTGAAGAGAACGCGTAGCGACACGACGCCGAAAACATAGTAATTGACGTGCCGCGATAGATACCGTTAATTAAACTGATAAATTAAAAGTGTCACGGTGCAGGGTAGCTGAAAATTGATCGCACGCAGATCCGGGCACGCGACACGCGTGTGGCGAATATGTATGTAAATGTGCACGGCTCGCACGCGCACTGCTCACACGCAACCGTTTCCACGCCAACTCTTTACATTTCACGCGAGCGTATCGAAATGCCGGGCTGTGCATCGAGTTTACGGAACACGAGTTCGCAAAAATACGCGTCGGCAAAAAGTAGAGAGTGCATCGCGGACCAAAGTTCCTGCCGGTACGGAGTGCGGGCCGCGCGCATCGAAATGCCGCTGGCTAAATAAGGGCGAGTAAAATGTGGGCGGTTTAACTTTGGCAAGTGCAACCGGGTCGGCTTAACTTCGAAACGCAACCGCGCCTGTAATCTTACTTCGGCACGCGACCGCAGCAGTTAACTCTCTCCTTTCGCTGAGCGTGGTTATCGTTCGGCGAAACGAACGGTCGGTGAACCGATGATTCGAAAAAAAAGTGCGTTGCAAACCGTAATAGGCGATACCTTCGCTTTTTGCAACACTTTTGCGAAATAAGTTCGGAAATGAGGTATAAATTTAGATCGAGCCGATGTGTCAATTAACGTTGCGTATTTTGCTCGTAATCGCCAATATAATTCACGCTTTATTGAACATAATATTACATACAGTTGGGACATACATCGATGCAGTTGGGAATTATAAAAGTAATATAGAGCCTGAACTAATTACGTCAGAATGAATAAACCATTTCAACAATTGAATCTGCGCGATATACAAACCGAAAAAAAAGAGTAAAAAAATCAAGTGATATTTGTCCCGCTTATTTTTTCCGCGCATTGGAATTTTTCCTGCGCATTTTGGACCTCACTGATTTCGCAGATGTCATTTGCATTTTCAAGAATACAAATTACGCATAAACCCGCGTAATATCTTGTCGTATATTTTTTAATGAAATAAGATTACCGTAAAATATTACGAAACATCACGCAACCGCGAGTGAAGCAATTTCAGTAGAAATCGACGTACTTAACAAAGGGTTTATATGTTAAAAAAGAAAAAAAAATAGAATGGAATAGAAAAGGAAGAAAAGAAACAAGAGAAAGATAACAGAAATAATAAATCATTCGACACTATATCGAGACAAGCTGTCGCAATGACATGTTATCGGACTCATAAAAATTAAATATCACCATGAGAAACTAGCATTCGCTGCACATCGTCGTTTAATTTCACGCGTGCATTTTATAGCTTTACGTCATTGGTTTCGTTGTGCGATACACAATTGCCGGGGTGGAAGGGAGATAGAAAATGACAGAGAAAGAGGAAGCATGAGAGCGACTATCGATCGACACGGACACGCTTACGTTCGCTCCATCCGAGCTTAAAGAGGAAATTTTGGAATTGCCGCCGCAGACGAAGTTTTGAACTTTAAAGCAAGAGATAAAGCTCTCTCTCATCTCTGTATTAGGGGAAAGATTTCATTGGGCCATCCGAGGATAGCGTAGATAAAAGTCGCCGCGAATGGGAAATAAGTGCCTCGTACTGAATTCTCTTTAGAGCGAAGTGAGTATTCTTTTACTCGTGCGAATAACACGTAAATCTTGGGAATCGGCTTAATATTCCCCGCGCCGCTTGTAAAACCATGTAAGAATAATTTAGCTCTAAAACCTATCTCACTATTTTGGAACTGGAACATTCGGTCATTTAATAGTCCGAAAATGGAAATATACTAGTTTTATATTTAGTTAAAGAAATTCACTACGTTTACTCAATAAAAGATATACTACATTTTAGCATCAAATTGTCAGCAGTAATTATATAATTACATTAGCAATTATATAACTTTTTATGGTGGATATAAAATATACACGAAGATTGCTTTAACACAAAATGCTTATCAATAACTATGACAAAACTGTAGTTATAATTAAAATTGGAATTTAGTAGAATACTATTTGCGGTACACAGAAGTTTAAACAACAAAAGTATAAAATTAGTATATTTCTGGTTTCAGATTATTAAATAATAGAATGTTCCAAAATAATGCGATAGACTAATGGAATATTTTAAAATTAAGTTATATCGTCTAATTTTATTATAGTATATAATAATATATCAAAGTATTTGGATATAACGCAAAATTTTATTAGTTAATAATCAAATTTAATTCTCTCATCATTGTTGTTTAAATATAATCGACGATTCTATTATTTTTATTAATAAATATGTATGTGGCATAAAAATAATATATAATTTGAAAATTTTTTCGCCATTTAAGATATTTTAAAATCAGCTTTTTATACACTTTTTATGCCATATAATAATATAATTTCGATAATTATCCGCAGACGGTTTTTCCCATCGGCATTTTTATCATTGAAAAACCGACGAAATTAGAACAAATGGTCATCGGACCGTTGACCCACCGTTCCATTTTACCGAAATCGTCGGATCATGATTGTTATACCAACGTAGTAGGGATAGTCATCCCCTCTTTACTCGCACTACATCGTAACAAAGTTTCTTGATTATCGGCGCAATCCTTAATTGAGAGACAATATACACATGTAGAACTTCCGCCCAAAATGCTCATATTATGTGTAATACTGTTACACATAGCTTTTAAACTTCTGCGTACCGCAAATAGTATTTTACTGAATTCCAATTTTAATTATAACTACAGTTTTGTCATAGTTATTGATGATTATTTCGTGTTAAAGCAACTTTCGTGTATATTACAAAGAAATGTGTAAATAGAGTCATATTTTTATTGTGACAAAAGTAATATCTTTGGGA